CTCGGGGAGATACTGGACCATGGGTTCGTCAGGCCAGGGATCATTCGGCAAGTCCGGCAGCTCCTCTGGATAGCGGGTGCAGGGCAGGCCCGGCGGCTCCTCCGGGTAGTGGGCGCAGGGCAGGCCCGGCGGCTCCTGGCGGCCGTCCCAGGCTGCTGAGGTTTCCCAGCCCCGAGCTAGGCTGGAGACGTCTGGTCTCTCCGGCAGCTGGGGCCTGACTGAGCTCTGAGGGCGAGCCTTTGTACTTCCGGGTCGCCGCCTGACCCCCCTGAGGGGCGGGCTCAGAGCTCCCTAGCTCCGCCCACTCTGGCCTCTGGATGGGCTCTTCCCCCTCCAGGGCGGGGAGCCACACCAGCTCACTACAGCCATTCATAAGTATTTCTTTTGTAACATCCAATTTTTCATTACATATGAGTCAAGTCAGTAAAGCTTTGCTCTAGACTCACAAACACATGGATCATTTTCTGAATGGTCTAGTTCAGCTAGGGTTACCACCTGGCTGGTATTTGACCAGCCTGGCCATCTTTTTATGGATTTGCCAGTTGCCAGAAAAAGAATTTAATCTGCTGGGATTTTTTTACGTGGATCTAAAGATTTGCATTATCATCACAATATACTGGGATATCTAATGTTAAAAGTTTCTGTGTCTAGCTAAAGATGTTGCAGTGTTCCCACTTCCACGGTTTAAGGAATAACAGATCAAAACTGTTGAAAATACAGCAGCTGTCTGCACACCAACTCACAAGCACACGGCGCATGTGTGAGAGAAGGTTTGAGTTATGCGAGAGTGAGGAGACTGCAATGTTATCATGTATCATATAATGTTACCACTGTATGTGGTATCGCTCTAGATACTATAAGTGGTTGTTGAAGGGGAGGGTTTATGGAGTTGCCTTGTGGTTGGGGGTTGGGGTTGCAGTGGGCTTGCCTGGGGAGGGGTGGGTTTTTTGCATTTCAAAGGTGGTAGCTTAAATTCAGTTCATATACAAATATCTCACAACACAAAATATCTGTCTTTTGTTACTTAAAAAAATTAGTACTTAAATAATTGTGGTTCAGTGTTCTCCATTCTCTTCCTTTCTTAGGCCCTGATCTGGCAACTCATTCTGTAGGGGTGGGAGCAGACGTCTACTGACATGCATCTACTGTTGCAGGATTGCGGCCAAAGAGCTTGCACCATGCAGCTCCATCATAGTAGTGTTACTGGTACAGAAAAATCCCATACAAAACAATGTAAACAAGCCCTTAATTTTGGATGCTTTAAAAAAGAAAATATAAAAGAACAAATTCTGCAGTCCTTATTCAGGCAAAACTTCCACAGACCATTGGGAGTTTTGCCCAAGGACCAGAGTTGATTCAGAAGACAAATACATGATTTGTGCATATCTGGTTATCTTGAAATTCTGCAGCTGCGTATGTCTAAATAAACATAGTTGCAGGACTTTTAAGATATGCGGTGCTGCTCATCATGTACATGAGATTTAGAATAAAGAATCTGAAGTGATATTTCAGGGCTCTTCTTTTTTTCGTCAGCATCTGACTTTTTAAGCATTGCACTCTTAAGGAAGCATTTGAGACAATACTGCTGAGAATTTCTCCCTTCAAAGAAGTTACATCAATTTGATTGCCAATTTTGAGTTTCACTCCAGCTTTGCTCCCAGAGCCAGCCTCATCACTTTCTGGGAGGTTCACAGCATACTCTGTATTAATGCGAATGAGCAAACTTAGTTGTATTAGCAAATAAACAAGATATCATGTGTCCCTTAAAAATTGCAGTTTCTCTGTTTTATAGAATTCCATATTTTGTCATGGAGTTTGTAAGCCCCAGCTTGGGAGGGAAGGGGAAGTAGGGAGATGTACTTTGACATAAGATATTATTCCAAAATAACTGTCCCAACCCCTAAAAATGGGTGCTGTAGTTTGGAAATAAAATTAGATACCATATGATAAGGATGACACACACACATATAAAATTGTTTTTCCCCCGAGACATTTCCCTGGAATGAACCTACTGAATGTGTGAATAACGAGGGCTACCCAAGATGATGGAGAAAACATAAATGAAGATAAATTTACCCATTTATAATCTGAGGACCTGTCTGTTGTGCTTGTATGTTGAAGATCTCACAGTGCTTTTAGTAAGAGTAGGGATTTGGCCTTTGTGTCCTTGGCCGAAATTCCCCCTATTTACCAATTCTTATGAAGCCCTGTTTTTCACCTAGCTTCTGCCTCCTCTGCAGAGATGGCTACATTTTCATGGTACTATGTACATACAGCATGTTAAACACTTGGGATCCTTCAAGGTGAAAAAGCACTACATATAAATATACCATAAATGTTTAAATGATATACGTATACAATCTTCATATTTTAATAATGCGCAATACCTTAAATTATAGCAATATAACATGGGCCCAATGCTTTCTTTAATCTAAGAGCAAAGCTCCCATAGACTTCAGTCTTCCCTATGCCTTAATGTACTATAATGAATGAATCATCTAATGTACAAAATTCCTCTACAACAACAAAAGTGATACTTGGACTTTGGGTCCAAAATATTGCTGGAAATATAAATTTAATTTTGGTTTGTAGCTTTGATGTCTAGTACTAACACCTTAACATCACTTTTCTAGTAGTTTAAAATGCCTGGAATGTAAATGCATTTTAAGCACTCTACACATGAATATTATCTTATGGTACAGTAATTTTAAATAGTGTTAATCAGCCTGAAAAATCCATCTTGAAATGGAAGTGCAAATCAAGTTCAGGAAACACTGAATTTTAAAACAACATAATCTACTGCAAAAGATATAAAATGTATTTGTGAATATATAAGTATGCAGTACTTTATTTCATTCCATGCACATTTTTTAAATTAAAAAGACTTTAAATTCTTATTTCTGTTTGCAAATATTTTATCTGTGTAGCCTTTTAAAATTTATAGCACCTTTTGACATACATTACTTGTTAGTGATAAAAACAAAGACAACAATTAAATACAATAAAAAAAGAAATCTTTATTCTTTTGGCTCAACTGTAATGTGGTTTACCGTTCTTTATGGTAATAGCATTTTCCTGCATGCAGTTCACCAACACACAAGTCAATAGTTTTAGTTAAAGGAGGAATCAACATTTAATTTTTGCTTGTGTAAGAAACACAAATGTCCTGATGTGATCAATTATACAAGTTTGCTACTTAGTTCTTGTGAAAAAGACACTGTCTATCCCATAGTATATTTAGAACAGTTCTAGTGCAGCATGAATCAACAAGAATAAGAATAGTCTATGTAAACAAACACTGGTAAAGATCAATGATTCCATGAATAAAAAGACTACCTTGAAACTTCTGACGCAGGCAGTGCTAGGATTTCAAACAAATCTTTCCCACCACATTTCAATTACAAGTTATATCTATTTGGAAGCAAGTGCATTTCGGACTGAATTTGAAATTTATTTCACATTAAAATGTGTGCAAAAATACAGTACTAATAAAAAGAAGCAGAAACCTAAAACTACCTCATTCTCTCCTTTACCTCTTATTTTGTGAAGTTCTTTGATTAAAAAGTGCTATGGACAGAAAGTAACAAAAGTGACTGTGACATCAACCTGAAGATAATTTTAATTTCTGATTTTATGTACAAAATGCTGAAAAATAAAGTAAAATGACATTTTTACAATATTTATATTTTTTTAGAAAATTCTACCCATGTATTTTCAACAGATTAAGCTGTTTGAAACATGTCCTGTACAGACTGGCTATACACCGTACAGTATTCACTTAAAATTTAAGAATGCAAAGCAAGAAGCTCTTTAATAGCTGCAAACTATTGCTTGATGATATGAAGGAATGATTTCTGGTTGAACAATTTGTTTCACTTTACCACTGACATATGGCTTCCCATATTAGACTTTTGAACAGTGGAAGGAATAAAATACAGCAGCAAAGGCAAGATAAACATGCATCAGTGATAGCCTCCAAAATATCTATAATGGTACAGAATACATAATATTATCTGTTGAAAGCTTGCAAACTACACTTATCGTGGTACATATTTGATGCAATAAATATTGTGCTCAGGTCATTATTTGTTTGCTCAAACATGCACCACATGGTAAAGTAACTATTTACATAGATGGTATTACTTTATTGACACATACAATGTCAACCTTGCTGAGAGTAGAAGATGGCTAAATGATACTGCAGGGTGAAGCAAAACAGCTTTATAAAGGTTGACTTTTTTGGTCAGTTCAATTTTCTAGGTTAGATTAAATGAGTATTTTGTTCTCCACAGAAGAACACTTAAAAAAATCAAGTTTATATCGCCAACATTTTTTCTCAGAGAAGTTTGTATCAACTATAATTTAATGACTTGTGAAAAAATAAAATATCTGTTTTATTATTGTAGGTTCTATGGGACTTTACAGGCACATTAAGATTTGTCTGAATGAGACACAAGATGAATACTTTCAATAAGCACCTCAAAATATGGAGCCACCCTGAAACATGGAAATAGTTAAAACCCTTGCTTTGTGCGAATGGTGTCATGTGTTTTCCATGCATGAACAATGAGTGCAGCATGCCTTCATGCAAATCACTTCTGCCTGTACATTAGAGAGAATCAGAGGATAAAAGACCTGGTCCTCATATCCCTTTCCCCAACACAAAACCCATTTACAAAAATAGTCACAGATAATAGGAAACAACCTGTGAATTAAAAAAAAAAAATGATAAATTCACCAACACCAATTTTTGTAAAAATATGGCAAATATAGCAGTTGAAATGCAGACAGTGGATACAATTACTGTACTCAAGTGTTTTTTGTTAATCACACAGAAATTGTAGGTTTGCACCTTTTTTTTTTAACTGGTCCCTACAGTCTGAGTAGCCATTTTGTCTCCTCTTCAGCAGCATCAGCTGGTAGTGAAAACAATAACCTCCTGTCAAGGTTGTTACCCTGTTTTACAGAGTCACAGTTTGATGACGGGGGGTCACTGTCTTGTTATAGGCACTGACCTTAAGTATATATATATATATAATCATTATATATATATATTTATATAAGTAAAAACTGTCAGTTTGGCATAGACCTCATACAGGAGTCTTGTTGACACAAATATGTCACTTTCTCAGATGTAAACTATTTGTCACCAATGGAATTCTTTGTTACTTTTTACCTTCCCTGATGTCTTTACCTTTGTCTTCTTTTTCTGATTTGTCTTTTTCATATTTCTCTTTGTCTGGCTTCGTTACGCTATCATAGGAAGGTGGAGAGGTTGTGGAAGGGGTCATATCTGTTTTTTCTGGAGTGGAGTTCTCATTTAGCTTATCGATAATCATATCTTCTTTGATAGGCAGGTCATCCTCATCTTTATCTTTATCTTGGTTAAACATACTTGAAACTTTTTTAAGTTTTTGCTTTAAAAGGTAACGTCTGAAAGCTCGCTGAATAATGACAGCAGATACTTCCTCTTGTTTTCGTTTTAATGTGGTTGTAATTGGTTCATAGGAGACTTTAGAAGGATTTGCTGCCATAAACCGATCTTCCATTTGTATTCGAAGTGCATCCATCTCATCACTGTCCCCCAAAACACGCTTTGTAAAAGCAAACAAGATGTCAAGGCAGTGAATTCTGTCACCACTTACCATGGGAAGATCCATTGCAATAAGCTGAACTTTGTTTGGTTTTGCTAAAAGAAGAGGAGGATCCAGTGAAGCTGCAAAATCAGACAGTTTACTGAACTCTATGAACTGGGTGGCATCTGGATCAAACTTTTCCCAAACCTCATAGAACATCTCAAAGTCATCCTCACTCAAGGGTTCGGCACTTTCTTCTGTAGCAACACTGAAGTTCTCCAAAATAACAGCAATATACATGTTTACTACAACTAAAAATGAGATGATAATATAACTGACAAAAAAGAAAATCCCAACTGAAGGGTTACCACAGTCTCCTTTAACCGAGCTTCCTGGGTGATCTTTGTAAGGGTCACAGTCTGGTGCTCCACTGTTCAGAATTGGTGCTAACAAACCATCCCAACCAGCTGACGTGGTAATTTGAAATAGGCAGATCATACTGTTGCCAAAAGTTTCAAAGTTGAACATGTCATCAATACCAACTTCCCTCTTAACGTAGGCAAAGTTGGACATTCCAAATATAGCATAGATAAACATGACCAGGAAAAGCAGGAGACCAATGTTAAACAAAGCAGGAAGAGACATCATCAAAGCAAAAAGCAGAGTGCGGATCCCTTTGGCACCCTTAATGAGACGCAGGATTCGACCTATTCTGGCGAGTCGGATAACTCTGAACAAGGTGGGGGACACAAAATATTTTTCAATCAGGTCAGCTAGAAACATACCTGTTAAAAAATAAATTAGTTAGTAAACATATAATAAAATGTAACAGCAACTACTAAAGATTTATACTATTACATACAATGTTGACCAATGAGAAGTGAAGCAAACTTATTCAAATAGCAGAAGTTTGCATTATGGGCTTTAGTTCATTTAACCAAACAGTTATAGTACTATGGTCTGACATACAAATCTGAAAAATCCAGCTAGAACTTCTGCAGCAATTTGCAGGATTTTGTAAAACTGCATCAAAGAGATTTGTTCATTTTAGACGGTATCACTATATTTTTTCCTGGAACTGCTCCTCACTTATACACTTCTATGATCTGTTAGTGAATAGACCAGTGGATATTGAAGTTTACAGAATATTTTTCTGTTTAGTTGTAATAGAAGTAATCTAGATTAATCGGAAGGAAGTGCCCTATTTATAGTTTCTGGTAGCGAATTATAATGTAATCCATTAAAATTAAATTATTTAAATTAAATATGCAAATTTAGACAGGTACTTAACTCTTTAATCACCAATGAAATAATGTGACCACAAATTTAGTGGGAATCCCACAGCAAACCAGTATATAAATAAACCAGCAATGAAAAGGCTTCTTAGAAGAAAAAAGTGGCAGAAAATTTCTTTATTATGGCATCAGAGAAGCAGAAAAACTGTGACCTTTTTGGCCACCCAGAAGATAGCTATGGGTGAAATCCTGTTCCCAAAAAATAGGCCATAAAACCAGATAGTGGACTGAGGAATCCTGCAAGGCTGGAGACAAGGAATCGTACCCATTCCAGGCAGCCCTTTCTGCTCCTGTGCATTAGACAGAGAAATAGGCCATTGGAACTACATATTTATAGATCCACCTGCTCCGGCCCCGCTCTTCCCTCTGCCTCTCCTGAGTTAACAGGCAAGGAGCCCTCAGAAGTAAGTGCCAGAGGTGGCTCTGCAGGAATGGTGGGGGTGCTGACCTGCTGTGTGGGGTCCTAGCATGCTATCCACACTAACCAGTAAAACCAGACGGGGTTCTTTTGCTGTTAGTGCTGTCTGTCATCTCAGGGTTGCAGGGCACAATTTCTCCCTGTGATTACCAAGAATAAAGTTTGTTCATTTTTGCCTCAAAACAGCCTTTCCATTTATTGGTTTGTTTCTATACTAGAGTAATATGCAATTTCTACTGCACTCAGAGTCATGGTCTAATAGGGTTGCCAATTTTGGTTGGACGTATTCATTAAGGTTTCATCACATGACATAATCTTGAATTAAAGATTAATCTTTAATTCCTGGAGACTCCAGGACAATCCTGGAAGGTTGGTAACTCTACGGTCTAATTTTTTATACTGAAAATGACAATCAATCAAATCTAATTGGTATAAAAACTCTTAATACACAGTTCCTTTATTTCATGCACAGTATGGAATAAGAAATTGGCAAACTAAAGAATCAGACTCTCTTCAAGTCAAATGTTAAGGAACTTAAATTCCTAAAACAAATGTTCAATTTCTACTCTTGTAGTCCCTTCTTGAAAGTGAATTGTACTTACCTACTATGGAGAGAATGACAACTACAAAATCAAAAATGTTCCAGCCTATGGTGAAATAGTAATAACGAAGTGAAATCAGTTTCAGAATACATTCTCCAGTGAAAAGGACAATGAACACAAGGTTAATCCACCATAAATTATTTTGCATTTCATCACTCTGGTCGTCTGTTTCTACCATCATGGTGACCATGTTAAGGCAGATAAGAATCATGATGCTGATGTCAAATACTTGTTTTGTCACAAAATCAAAGACCATGCCTTGGAATTTGTTCTGTGGGTAAAAAAGAATGCATAATGCATACACCTTGTGTATAAATTTCATTCCCAAATTACTACAAATAATTAACTAAATCTACAGTTTCCTCATCTGTAAAATGGGGATAATGATACTGACCTCCTTTGTACTTTGAGATCTACTGATGAAAAGCACTATATATAGACTTGGTGAAATTTGATTTTTATTTTTTTATAATTTCAACAGATAACATCAAGGTTAATTTTTAAGCATTTTTTCAATTTTTATCACTTTAAATTTTCAGTCATAGGAAATTGTGGGGGATCAGACAATAGAATCAGACAATTATTTAATGACAGTAGACATTGAGATTCAAAAAATTAAAGTTTGATAACTGTTAAAACACAAATTGTCAACATCACATCCAAATATACAAAGTAATTATCCACAAATCAATCTCTAATAAGTTCTCAAGCAGCGTGTTTCTTACTTCGCCTATCGGTAAATTTTGATTTATTTTTAAAAAAAAAATGTAAAAATTTGCATTGGTTTATGTGTGTACAGTGAAATCGACATTTACAGATATTTACCAATAAAAATCTGATCTTTCCAAGCCTAATATATAGGACCTAGGTATTATTATTATTATTATTATTATTATTATTAGTTGTACCCTGAGGACTGCATAAGATAGACTCCTTTCAATATGCATTCACTTGTTTGTGCATACATAGACATTTGCCCACACAAATTCAGTAGTTAGGCCTCCAAAGATTCTACTTATGCATATTAAAAGGAAGATTTTCAAAGCTACAAGATTTGGTTGTCTTACCGACATTCATTTTAATATATGGGCTTTAGTGATACAGCAGACTAAAAAAATGTTTAGCTTTGGCAAAACTGGCAAACAAGTTTTTCTTTTTGCCCACGGACATCACTTCCCTTCCCTGAAAACCTATACAGGTCTCAGAGCTAAAGAAAATACAGCCTCCCTAAGAAATACTTCTTGTACCACTAATAAGATCTTCAGCCTCAATTAACTATAAAAAACATTCACTAGAGAAAATCCTTCTTCCATCTGTGCAGCTGTTGAAGATATGCTGACAGCTGAACCAGTATGGTTCCACTGCACAAGGAGCAGAACAGTAATTGAAGGTCCTTTGCATGGGGAGGGAGAACACTGAGGAATGCAGAGCTGTACTCTAATTGCTCCCTAACTGACATTGCACAGGATGGAGGATGGGGAAGAGAGAGGCCGAGAATCCACCATTTCATGGATACTCCAATTCTCTATATCCAAGAACAGGCATGTAAGAGACATGTGGATTAGCCTCCACAGAACAGCTGCAAAGCCACTCTCGGCCTGAGAAGAGGATTCCTTCCTAAGGCCTTGACACCTTTGGCACTCACAGTACTTGAGCTGTAAGTTAGTTGTTTTAGACAGATCAGTGGTTTGAAGGATGCAACCTTCAATCCCACTAGTCTTCCAACAGATGTAGAGTGAGAATTCAAAGCAAAAAGAAGGGTCCTCCACAACCCAGGAGATTAATGAATACAAAAGAGAAAATTCATTTGGATTTAGAGAGAGAAAAAGTTTGCTTTAGGTCAATTATTTTTCTTGCTTACAACTTAACCCAATACATTATTTAAACAGTGTGGGGAGGAGGGAGGGAAATACTTTCATTCTTACCGCTGGCCTAGGTATAGGTTTTTGTGGTTTCTTTGAACCCAGCTTTTTCATTGCATTGTAATATTTCTTCTGTTCTTCCGTCATAAAGATGTCTTGGCCTCCAAAGTAAAGAAATGAGATCAAAACTAGTTACAACCATGTACTTCCATTGATTACCTACAGCCACCATCACAATTAGTATTATCACTCCTGTTCAGAGTCTCAACAGAATCCAAGGACTGAATGGGCATAAAGACTGGCTTGCTCTCTCATTCTTCTTATTTTTATTGTCATTGTAGCTGCTAGCAACTCCTGAATTTAGGTTGCCTAACACTTTCCATTCCAAAAGATTTTTGCAACTTTTTCTTTGAGAAGCTCTCAAATGTCCAGTGTTTGCAGTAGGCCTTTGATGTTTTGCAGGGGGAATGCACTCAGGCAACAGATGTACCTTGTCTTTGTCCCATGCAAGTCCTTCAGCTTTTGCCCAGACATGAAATGTTAAAAAATTCAACTTCCCTTCTCTTGTTTTTGCTCCTTAGGAAAAATTTGGCAAAATGCTTAAATAATAAGTAAATATGAATATTCTATGACTGGGTTCATGCCCTAGTTAAAGCAGCAACACATACTGTACTGGGTACACCCAGGAGCTGCCAATGAAAGCATAGTGGAATGTTGCAGGGGTGAAGAGGGCCAGGCTGGACTCCCTTCCCTCCTAGACCTAGCACAACATGGTCTCAGCACCTCTCCACCCACAGGGTCACCACATGGGACAGGAGCTCCCCCAACTGATGAATGTGGGCCAGCAAAGAGAGCTAAGTCTGACTGGGTTCCCCCCATGCCAACAAACCCTTGGAGTCAGCACTCCTTCCTCCCCATCTGGGATAATAGCCTTTTCCTGCTGTCAGCTAATGTATTTAATCCTGTAGCTCAACTAGTAATAGTATTTATTCAGCACTGCAGCAAAAATTAAGACTCAATACAGTACAAAGAAGGATAACATGGTCCTACAACTAAGATTTATATGTCTACATTTGGGAGTTCTCAGACATGGAGGCAATGTAGCCAACATTTTTTTTATTGCTTGATTTGGCCATTTAAATCTTTAGCCTTTTTTATGATACAACACCTTTAAATTGATTATCTTTTTTCTTTTTCTATTTTGGTTATATATACTCATGTGTATGGTTTTCCTAATTCATCCATCCTGCAATGGAATGAATATAGTTAAACCTGTTTACATTACATACTGCATGTTACAGCAAGTGATAATAAATGTTAATCATAAAGAGTAAAAAGTATAATATTTTTCTGACCTGAAGTCACTACAGTAATTCATTGTATGGTAGGCACCAAAACAAGCAATATTTTTGTATTTAGCTTTCTTTTCAGAACAGTGACGAAATACTTATCTTCTTTTTTTGCTGGTTGAAATTATCTATGATGACACCAATGAAAAGATTCAGGGTAAAGAATGATCCAAAGATGATAAAGATGACAAAGTAAAGATACATGTACAGGTTGTCCTCATACTTAGGCTGATCCAATACCTACAAAATATGCACAAATGTCAAGCTACAGTATCAGGGTGAACACTGTGTGTCAAAAGCCTTATTTGTTATATAAAGCCTATGGCTCTATTATTCGGACTCATGCGCCTTATGAACTAGGCTCCATATACTCTGATTCTGAAGCCCCAGAATTCACCTCCTTGCCACAGAACTCTGTTCCAGAACTCTGTTCTGAGCTTTCATTAAAAAATAAAGTTTCTAGCCCTGATGGTTGTTGGAAAAACCTTGAAAATGTTAAATGAGTGTAAACGAACACTGTGTCACCTGCCTCAATCTGTAGACAACCTGAAACAATAGCTCTAAGACAGGGTAGTCAATAGGTGGACCGCGGGCCAAATCGACACTGCCAGATGCTTTTGAACAGACCTTGAAAACTTTTTATTTACTTATTATTATTATTGTTATTATTTTTGTATTATTTTCTCTGGAGTCTGGACCTTGACCAATAAATTTGGACCTTGACAGAAAATAACTGATTACCCCTGCTCTAAGAGGTATGAACCGTTCCATTCTTCTCCGTCAGGTTCTTGTAGATTCTGCAATTCCAATGGCAAACAATCTGATGTTTTCCAAGATACCATGGAGTTCACCAATTCTGCCATAGAATCTTGCATTTTAATATAGCTAGGACCTCCTGCCAAGACTTCCCTTCAGCTGCCCCTTTCTTATCATTTATTAACGGGGACTTACTAGGATTATAGGGCACACTCCCTGCATAGTTTCATGGAACAAGGGAGCAGGAAGTTAGGGAGCCAGAATGGAGCACAGCTTGTAGCCTGGGAGCAGAGGGAGAAAGAAGGATAAACTGATGAGCTATGTGGAGCACAGAACAGTACAGGAACTGAGACCTGAGGAGTGGAGCCAAGCTGCTTGGAAAACAACCTCATCCTTGAAAATAATCATTGTTGCAAATAATTCCTAAAATTTTTCCATCAATGAGTGTTTCCAAGTATGAGTCATAGCCTTTTGAGTGTTTGTTTAGGAGCCAAGGGTATTTCATGACAAAAGAATAAGTTAAAGTTACTGTGGAATTTGGTCTTGCTGTGCCACAGAATATATGGGACCTTAAAGGATCTTCCCTTGATCTCCTTTTCTTTTGTATTTTCATGCTCTTTGCTACCTTTTCGGCTTGATGGAACTATATAGCTCCATGTTATCTCATTTCTAGTGTCACTCAAGTAAGATATCAGTTACATTACTGGGATCACAGAGTTCACGCAATCAAAACAATGGCTCCAGGGAATATACTTACATTTCGAGAATCCACAGCTGCATACATTATATCCATCCATCCTTTAAACGTGGCCTATAAACAGAACACATGTGCTTAACTTGTGCTGTTCCTAGAAAATGACTAATTGGAGACACTGTTTATGAACTGAAGACCAACTATATTCATATTCATTTTAAAATACTGGTATGGTGCAAGATTAATATTTGGCTTTTACCTTGTATCTTGTTGTTTTGTATACAAGAATTGTAAACAATTATAATAAATATGCAATCCAGCTAAATGCAATACCTAATCTTTTACTACAAGGAATAATATATCTATTAAAAATTCTCATCTAAATATGCACTATCGGAAACAAAGATACATTTTGGGGGGGGGGGGATGTATCATGGTCTATATCAGGGGTCGGCAACGTTCGGCACGCGGCTCGCCAGGGTAAGCACCCTGGCGGGCCGGGCCAGTTTTATTCACCTGCTGACACGGCAGGTTCGGCCGATCGCGGCCCCCACTGGCCGCGGTTCGCCGTCCCGGGCCAATGGGAGCGGCGGGAAGCGGTGCGGGCGAGCGATGTGCTGGCCGCGGCTTCTCGCCGCCCCCATTGGCCCGGGACGGCGAACCACGGCCAGTGGGGGCCACGATCGGCCGAACCTGCCGCGTCAGCAGGTAAATAAAACTGGCCCGGCCCCCTAGGGTGCTTACCCTGGCGAGCCGCGTGCCGAACATTGCCGACCGCTGGTCTATATGATGTAAGCTCTGCTCTTGATTTTCAGAGTTAAGACTGAGTTGGTTTTAGCACTGAAATATCTATATACACCTCTACCCCGATATAACGCTGTCCTCGGGAGCCAAAAAATCTTACCGCGTTATAGGTGTTACCGCGTTATATCGAACTTGCGTTGATCCACCTGAGTGCGCAGCCCCGCCCCCCCGGAGCACTGCTTTACTGCGTTATATCCGAATTCGTGTTATATCGGGTCGCATTATATCAGGGTAGAGGTGTATGTGCACAGAGTGTGTTTACAGTCATGTGTATGCAGCTGTGACACAAAGAATAACCAGGGATATAGTCAGTATAATAAATATGCACACATACATATATATAGCTAGATATAGATAGATATTAAGTGCAAAAGACAACTCAGCCTTAACTGTGAAATCAAGAGCAGTGCTTACATCATATAAACCATAATACGCCCCCGCCACAAAATGCATTTTTATTTCTGATAGTGTGTATTCAGATGAGAATTTTTAATAGATATATTATCCTCTATAGTAAAAGATTAGGTATTGCATTTAGCTGACCGCATATTTTATTATATTATAATTATACTGAATACATCCATAGTTATACTTTGTGTCACAGCTGTATATACATGATTGTAAAACACACTCTGCACATCACCAGTTCTGGTGCTCAAACATACTATGCACTCAACAGTAGCAATGGTTACTCCACATGACTCACTGCATAGCTCAGGGCCCATTTACCTCTTCTGCAGGAACCCCACCATACGTCCTCCTTGCAGTGAAAGAGAAAGCATGTTGAAGCATGGATAGTGTGTGTGTTAAGCCCAGAGACCAATTGCTCCACATGCTGGACACTTAAATAGGTTACTAATTTGAGTGCATGGGAATGACTTCACCTCTAGATCAGGAGTAACTAATTCATCCTATGATTGCTACAGATGGGTTGCTACCAGTAATTACAAGAGGTAAATATAGATAAAGTAACTTATAATATATGGTGAATTATGTCCCCCAAACTTGCACCATAAGGAAGAAGTAGTAGTCATGGCAATATGAGCCTAAAGTAAGAAAATATTCCAGATTTGAATTGATAGATTCTCAGGGCTTTTAGAATTGCCAAGCAGAAACAAAGCAGACCAAAATGTGTTGAAGAGGTGATAAACATGTTTGCATGAAATGGTGTAATTCCGGGTCTTGTGGAAATGAGTAAGGATTTGTCTAATATTTATACGTTTACAAAATGTATTTTTAAACTTGTTTTTTAAAGCAAGGGTACAAGTATAAGAAAAAACAAATGGCATCCTCAAAAGTTAAAGCGGTAGTGCTTCAGAGTCCAAGCCACACCCAGTGCTCCTCATTGAACCTTGGAAACACCACCTCCTCTCTCACATGTCCCAGCAAGTTCTGGTCATGCAAACTAGGCAACCAATCAGCTCTCCTACTTCTTGTCATGTATTGAAGCCTCCCATCCTTCCTCAAAGGGACCCCGCACCACTGCCACTCAGTTCCACTACTCCTTTCCAGAACATCTCAGTACCCTTCAGTTTTGCTTTTTATTCTATTTTTGGGTGTGTGATTTTAGCCATATACTTTTAATAGCATATACACTTACCAAACTTGCTCTCCATAATACAGGGAGCCAACATAGCCAGTTGAACTGGCAAGCTGGAAGTGAGTCCCAGGTATGTAAAGGGAGAGACAATGAGTATTGTGAGTGTCCATTTCTGCTTGCGCGAGATCTCTTCCACAGCCAGATATGTGTATGTATCTGTCTTTTTAAAAAATGTGCTCAGCATTCCTACCATATGTAAGGATTTTCATGGTACAGTAGTAAACAAAGTATTTTTTTTAAGTGTAGGACAGGGTAACTTAGTGACAAAAACATTGAGAAATTACTCTTTACTACAAGTAAACAATAAGAAACATATTAAAGAGTGGTCACTTACTACTTGAAGCAGAGAAAGATAGCCAAGTCCTACATTATCAAAGTTTACTTTAACGTTTTTCCATCTGGCAGTTTCATTGTTGTTTATGAGGTCCTCACATTGACTATAATTGTTGATTTGGCTGATATCAAACCTCTCATCATTTGTGGTATTAACACAGTAGTAGAATTTGCCAGCAAACAGATTTACTCCCATGATGCTGAAGATTAGCCAGAATATAAGACAAACAAGAAGGACATTCATAATGGATGGAATTGCTCCTAAGAGGGCATTCACAACGACCTAGCATATAAATAAAAGGAAAATAGTGGAAACTGTGTGAGAATATGTATAGCAATAAAATAATTAGATATGTTATCAATTTTAATCAACTTTTCTTAAAATGTAATACAGTATTTTAAATCTGTTTGCACTCTGCTTTTCAATTGGTGAAAATAACTCATACAATTAATTTAACAAAAGATGAACAAACTTCACCTAGGTAGAAAGCAAAAAAAGTATAAAATAAATAAAAACCTGATAGTGGTAGGATGTTGCCTTATAATTTGAATACTCTAATAAAAGAAAAAAGAGATACATGTTAAACTCAGACATAAAGGAAAATCTATAAAAATGTAGCAAATCATAGGTTTAAAGAAAGAATGATGACATGAAGAACTAATTGCTGAAAAGGACTTGGCAAAAAATAGAAAAAAAACAGGATGATTTAATTCTTTAAGATTGTTTAATTTATGTAACCCTAAAATTTGTGCACACATTTCTTGTCTTATTTATTCACACATTATTCTTCTAAAGACCAGTAGCAACCTTTACATTAAAAAGAGCAAAATCAAAGTGTGTATTATGTGTTTAGTTGGATAAGCAGTCAATTTCAAAATTCAGTCTAAACAACATTGTCACTGAGTGTAAGTAACAGGAAATTAGGAGAAGTCAGAATATTAATATGAACATGTTAAGGAAGTATGGTGGTAATTAATACAAATGGAAAAGCAGGTACGTACTCAAACAAAAATACTCAGAAACAGTTAAAACTTAGAGGAAGAAACTTATATTATTCCCACTTGACTTCAGAGGGAACAGAATCAGGCCCAAATGTAGCAAAATGTAAGAATGGGTTATTGTTAGCCAAAGTATTTAAGGGCTTTTGCAAATATGCCAGGGTAAAAAAAAAAAAAACAGTAGGGAGAAAGTAGGTCCATTAAAAAGGGTTTACTTAATGTTTAGATTAATAATGGTTACGATAATTAACACTTGGTAAAAAATCTGTCTGTAAACCAGAATAATAAAGAAAAGAAACAAACAATTAGGGTCCAATCCAACTGCTACAGAAGTCAATGGAAAGATTGCCATTGACTACAATGGCAGCTGGATCAGACTGCTAGAAAATAAGAGAGATTTTGTAAAATACCTAAAGAAACAAGATCAGCTAAGAGAATATTTGATAAATGTGAACATATGCAAATTAGTCAGTCCATATGATCTGGATCCTAGGACAAATTACTGCTCTGTAAGTCTAACTAATGTCTGTCCTTAGTGAAATAATATGACGAAAGAATAAGTATCAACTGGGTAGATGATGTCTAGTGGGTACTACAGCAATTGTTATTAGGTATGATCTTATATTAAACCTTCGTTAATAATCCTGAAGATTAGAATACTAATCATGCTAACAAAATTGATATTAAATTGAGAGCAGATGCACATGCTAGTGAGGACAAAGAAGTAACATGAAGAGACCTAGAAATTTTTTAAAAATGGGCCAAAAATAGCAAAATGATATTTAATTTCAGAAATGCAAGGTAATGTATTTTGGGAAAAATAATATAAAACTCAGATATTTGATGTGGTGGAGAAATATGAAAAGCATTAATGCTGAAAGTACTAGGGATGACTGTGGGCAGCAAATTAGACATGCGTTAGCACTATGATATTAAAACAACAGTGTCCCAAAAGAAATGGAGGAAGTCTCTTTGGCTGGTACACTTAAAAGTTTATTGGACAAAACACTAGAAAATGGAAAAGGGGAAAGACAGTGAACTAGTCAGAAGTTTTTGAGCAGGGATATAATGGGCCCATTAAAATGAAAGGCTTATTGTCCAGGTTAAAAAAGATATAATGGAAACAATTTTGCATTGGCAGTGAAATGGACTTGATGATGGGATAGGTCTTTTCCACCTCAAACTTTTAGAATTCTATTTATTAAGTAGGACTAACAACATCAAAGCGCAAATCAAAATGAAATACGCAGAGATTATAGTATCAGGGGGTAGCCGTGTTAGTCTGTATCCACAAAAACAATGAGGAGTCCGGTGGCACCTTAGAGACTAACAGATTTATTTGGGCATAAGCTTCCATGAAAGCTTATGCCCAAATAAATCTGTAAGTCTTTAAGGTGTCACCAGACTTCTCATTGTTTTTGCAGAGATTATAGGTGAATAGATCTAAAAAAAATTATTTCAGCATCTTTCCTCAAAGCACTTTACAAAGACCAATAGTTAGCCTCACAATATCCTGAGATAAATATTATTTACAGATGAGGATACTGAGGCACAAATGTTAAGTTACTTGCTCAAGGCTTACATAAAAATTCTGTGGCAGACCCAGAACTAGAACCTACATCTAAAAATGTCCAGGGTTGTGTCTTCCCATTCCTCTCTGACATATAACACAAATGTATTATTAGCTGAAGTTTGGCAGCTTGGATCAAGATGGTGTGTTGCATCAAGAGATGGCTCACATACATTAAAGATGAGGCAGCTGTAATTTGCTCCTTTTTCAGGAAATTTGGTGCAGCTCATGGGTTCCTGATAAGCTGCCACTGCAGCCCTCAGTTGGGCAAAGTTTGGTACCCTTCTATGCGCTGTTGAGAGCCCATATGAGCATCAAAGGAGACTTCAGCACATGGGTGCTTTTTGAAGTAAAGGGGAAAATCACTATCATTTTCTATGAAACTATCTCAGAAAACATGTTGCTTTTTCTAATTCTGATAGCATATTATGGCTTTTGTAGCCACTTTCAGTTTTCTGGTGAAAAACTTGGATTTATCACTTACATGCAAAGATTAGGCTAGAAATAGTGTATAATATTTAATATGCAAGCCTTATTAATATTTCTTCTCCACATGAGCTGTTTGTTTGTGCTAAATAACAACACTACAATGGAGGAAGGAAATACTGATGGTGTTACAGTTTGGATTACATGTAGCAGAAGCTCTGTTTGCATCCTAGTAATTAAAACACTTTAGTAAATGGGGAAAGGTAATGAACTAGTTAGAGATTTTTGAGTGGGAATATGATGGGCCAATTCAAAGGAAAGGCTCATTGTCCAAGTTAAATGAAATATAAACTAAAAGTCTCCATGCGTTTTCAGGCTTGATCCTATCATCTGTAATAAGAGTTCATACAGTCTTGATTAACTGTCATTTCCAGCAGGGATTCTGGTACTGGGGAAATGACATTTTTCAGTATGCGACTCAGGGCCCAATCTGTCTAGCTGGGTAAATCAAAAAAGCAATCTAATGAGTTCTGGGTCCTACTAGGACATTACATCTAAAGTCTTGAGAATTGTTCCTACAATTTCTAAAAGTTTTGCATCAGGGAAATGCTTACTGCAGTGGATGAAAACCTTACATACATTATCTGATGAGGTACACATCTCCTTGCTATACATCTTTCCACTTCCGAAGTGTCATGTGATTCCGCCTCCCCCAAGTCTCAAAACAGGTATTTTTAATTTCTCACATGTAGGACTGAATAACCTCCTGATTGTGGATTTTACATTCTAAAGAGATGCCCCAGCATGCACTGTGCTGGTGACATCAGTAATTCTTATTATTATTGGTGGACTATGAATTCTGCCTATGAGAGGAGGTAAGTCAATTTTTTCAATATTTAGTAGCTTTCTAGTTGGTTTTTTTTAACACTTTTACTTCATAGTTTACTGAGGCATAAAGTATAAATGCAGAAAAAAATAAAAATAATATAAACTATACATTTAACTTCCTTTTTCTTCTCCCCTCCCATAAGCAGACTGCACAGTCAAGTGCTGATCAGAGGATATTAATCGTGGGCATGTAGTGGTGAATTGTCAAACTAGGAAACTGCCAACCACGGTCTTTGCATCTCTGCAGGAAACCTACACATTTGCTGAAATCCTTTCTAATCATGGCATTTGCTGCATTAACAAGGTAATACTAAAACTGAACCATTTATTTCTAAAAAAGTTTAATTTTCATTTTAAAAGTTGTGTGTAGGAACTGGAAACTCATCAGACTTCCCATTGTAACTCACTTAAGCTAAGTATTTTTCTCTTATCACATCCTAATTTCCCAGTAGTTTCCTTTAGGAGGCTTATTTGTTCCAGTTGTCTTTAAAGATAGGTTCTGAAATCACATCCAAAGCAAAGAAGCCTAGACCAGGGAGGCGTTTGTCTGTTCCCACAATTGGCTTACTGTACATGGCAAAAGGAACACAAAATAGATCACAATTCTGAGGGAAAAAATGGTTTACAACAATGGACAGAACAAAAGTTCTACAAATGTTCTATCAAAAGCAAAATCTATCAGCTGTCAGGCTTGCATAAAACCTGAAACTCTGTTTAATCAATGCATGTCTGGATACAGTCAGCATTTGTTGTATAGAGTTAATGTTTTTTGCTCATTTGTCCGTATTTAACTTTACAACTGAAGTTCTTTTTTTTTTAAAGCCACACTGCTACAATCCTTCACTGTATGAAAAGAGTTAACTCCAAATGTAATAATGTGACTTCAAAGCCTCAGATGGAAAATGAATAATGCAGCATTAATAAAATAATTATGTTCACTCCAGAAATTATCAATTGTAACTATAAATTGCTAAAATTACTTAGGTGTGTATACTTAATGATAGAGAGTGTATTTATTGATATATTAAGATTTCATATGTTGTGGATTGTTTTCTAGTATTGGTAATATTGTGCCTAATTTGATGTCACACATACATTATTATTATTAATATTATAGCCATTATTTATACTGATAGCAGTGATTTTTCATGTTTAGTCTCTATAAAATAAAGGGACTTTTGGTATGAGTCCATTTATAATAATTACTGTAATTTATGGGATATTACTTTGCCAAAATCAAAAATTATCTAAAACTAAAATACGAAAAGTTAAAAATTCAAAATGCTGTCTATATTAGTAACTGTGAAAACCTTTTCTTCTAACACAAATGTGTTATTTGTTTCTCACTGGAACACACAATATGTAGATTACTACTGTAGTTTAAGGAAATTTGGCCTAAA